AAAAGTCATTTGCCAAGCATAAGAAAGAGTTTGGCGGCCAGAAAATGAAGCATGAACAATAATAGCAGCTGGGTCGAAAACATCTTTAAATAAATATGGTTCATCTCTTGCATATCGACTGTAAATATTTGCTAAAGGAAGTTTGACTTTCTGATTTAACATTCTTTGCAAATAATACCATGACATTGCAGTGATTCTGTATATATTTGTTCGTCTTTCTTTGGATTGTCTTCGTAGATTTGAAATGACACTTTGTGAATTTTGTTTGTCATATACAATTCTCACATAAAGTGTGCTCTCGGTATTTGCATATTCATTCAGCATATTTTGCATAACATGAATTTATTTTATCTTCTATATTTTTTAACGCAGTCTGTAGAGAAGATGAAAGGTCAACTTGTATTAGCTCAATTTCTTCCCACATTTTTCGTTTCCCTTCAGATATATAATCTATATGAAACCTTACAATAAATGGAAAACTTTTATCTTCTACAGACACAAACTTCATTCTACGAAAGCCAATAGCTTTTGTGACAGATGGGTCTCTTAGCCATCTTAATGGGTAGTCAAAACGATAGCCTTCATGCTTTACGGTCTCTGTCTCAAACTTTTGACCGACATTAGTAAAAAGTTCATCTAATGGTTTAGTTGTAGCAACTCTTGAATTTTCTTTTTCTATTGGAAGCATATTTTATCTAGAATAAAAATGTCAAATGAAACAGCGTCTATGAGAGAAATACAACACAACCGACAACTCATTATGCAGCCCTAAATAAGAACACAACAAACTTTTCAAACTATTCTAAGATATCTGAGTCATTGAAAGAAGGAAACTTAAAACTGACATTAAACCAATGACAGATGAGTTTCTGTTTCAAGACAATAAGAACCATACTGTCTGTATAAATCCAACAAAAGGAACTTTAAACGAGAAACCTATAAATGAACTTCTTTTGAAAACAGATGTTGACAACAAAGCTGACAAAGAGTATGTCATTGAAAAAGTTCAAGAAGAACATGACAGAGCAGATGCAACATATGCAACAAAAGAGGATGTTGAAAAGAAAGCTGACAAAGAGTATGTTGACGATGAGTTAGCATATCTGGCTAGTGGGTTAGTGAAGAAGGCAGATAAGGAATATGTGGATGAAAAAGATGAAAAAATTAAAGAAATGGTTGAATGGTACCATGAACGGACATCGAAGATTTTAGAAGGTAAAGCCAATACAGGGTGGGTTTCAGGATGTTTAGACCTTAAAGCCGACAAAGAAACTGTAGATATGTTGGCACAAACGGTTTCAAGTCATACCAGAGGTTTAATGGAAGATGGACAACAGTTGAAAGAGCTTGAGAAAGGTGTTACAGAGTTAAGGAATACAAAAGCAGACTCGACATGGATAAAAGGATATGTAGATGCAACAAAAGAACGTATTTTCGCATGGACAGAAGGAACATACCCACAAAAATATCATAGACATAGCATCTCTGACGTAAATGAACTTGAAGAAAAGTTATATAAAAAAGCAGACAAAACAGAGCTTCAAACATTAAAGACAGAAATACTTCAAACATTATATCCTATAGGCTCTATTTATACGTCAATGAACTCTACCAGACCAGAAGTAGTACTTGGTTTGGAACTTGGACTCAAATAGTCGACAGGTTTTTGTATTGTGCAAACTCTTCAAAGGAAACAGGTGGAAGTAAAACGATTTCAGGTGAAAACCTACCTGCGCACAGTCACTACATAGATTTAAGTACATCTCAAGCAGGTTGGCATAAGCATAGATATTGGGATTGGTCAGGAATGATAAAAGGTAAAGGATATGATGTTAAAGACAACGTTAAGTTTGCTATAGATTGTTATTGGAGTGACACTCAGGGAGAAGGAAACCATACACATCGCGTTTCAGGGTATACGCAAACAACAGGACAAAGTAAAGACTACATGCCACCTTACATGACAGTTTACGCATGGTATAGAAATGCTTAGTCGTCATTTTCAACTTCTTTAGCATATTCGTCAGGAGTTGTCTTATATTTGTTAGGAACTGTCTTTGAAAGTATACCACCTTGAACTTTGACAAGTTTTGAAACGAGGTCTGACAATAGTAGTTTTATCTTCTGCTTGCAGTCTGTACATTTTGCATGTTTGCCTAAAACTTCATAATATTCTCTTGTATACTTTCTTCTATTTTTACGAACACGAAGGTGAGTACCTGTCGGGTACTTGTTGTTGTCATAGTCAATAGTATTTTCATATGGGTCGCGTTTTAGGTATTTCTATTTTTACTTTGTCACCTTTTTAAGTTTGAAGCCTGGCATTCTTTCTTGTTTGTCTCTTTGACTAAACTATTAAATATATAGTCTTTCTCTAAGTCGGGGTTGTTTTCATTTCTTCGGGGGAGTGGTTTCCCAAACCTTTTTGTTTACGGCTATTGTAAATATTTAAAACTTGTCTCATCTTTGCCATGGAGAAATGTCTATATTTGTCGTCATATGACATTTCATCTACCTCACCACCTTGTGGTTGATTTAAATCTCTTAAGATTTTTATACAACTGTCAATGACACCAAGAGCAGAATGGTTTTGGTCGACAATGAAATATTGGTTTACATTTTTTGAACGCAGATAGTTTTTAATATCGTCTGATTTGAAAGAACTTTCACAGTCAGATGTCAGTTTTGTTTGGATGGTATTTGTCAACGAATATTGTCAAAGCTGCTAAGATATCTAAAATATTTTTGGACTGTAATGGTATGGCTTCACAGTATCTTGTGTTTTGACCGACAAATATTAGCCAGTAGGTGGTCCATCTTCTCTATACCTCGGAATGTTTTCCAAGATATCCATAAACCAAGCATTTGGTGTTGAACTAAAGATTTTTATCATGAGTGCTTTCTTTGTCGCTTTAGAAACATAGGGGTCCTTGTTTGGATTCGTCATTTTTACCCTATAAGAAATGGGTTTATTTGGCGCATTAGCAGGAGTTGCATCCAGATTTTTACCCGCAGTGGGAACAATAGCCAGAGGTGTATTTGGAGTTGGAAGGAAGATTTTGAGTACATTAGGTATACTTAAAGAGAAAGCACAACCTATTATACACAACTGTACAGAAAGGGTTGGGATGTAGCACGAGATGCAGCAAATCTTATTCCAAATCCTGAAACAAGAGGAAGTTCAAGGATGGATGGACAATGTAGGAAGACAAGCAGGAAACTATTATAACAAAGCAAATGACTACTATAACCAAGCAGGACACTATATGGACCAAGGTGAAAGATTCTTTAACAGAGGATATAACCATGCACAACAGTGGGTAAACAATAACCAACCTCAACCGCCTCAAACGTGGGGAATGTAAAATTTTTTACTGAGATGAAATGAACAATACAGCATTGAGACAAATGGGTTCAAGATGGATTTGTCGAGTTACACAACCACGTGTTTGTCAAGTTCTTCCTATATCAGGAAGTTTTAGACCGACTTAAAAAACCTAAAACCAGTTGAAAACAAACCAAACTAAAATTTTTTACTGAGATGAAATGACCGAAGAGTTGAAACGGTAGATTTGACACCACAAACAAAAAGTTCAGAACCATTGTCAAAACTGTCAAAGAACTTACAGATGAAGAGAAAAATTCAATAATAGAAAGTGCCAGGTCTGGAAATACAAACCCTAACTACAAAGTCACTTTTCATAGAAATGGAACGGCTAGTATCTCAAAAAGAAACAGACTCTCACAAATAAATATTGAAGTCTGAAGGAGCTTTCGAGACAACAGATGGAAAAGTTTACTTCACTGACAAACAGTTCATTATAGAACATCTCATTGACTTAGAGTCGAAATATTCTAAACTTTACAACAAACACAAAAAGTTGAAAGGAAAACAAAAACAGATGGCATATGATATTTACGAAGATGTTGACGACACAACCATACCTGCAAGTGAGGTAAAGTCAGAGGAACCAAAAAGTGACGAAAAACCAATAGAAGAAGGTGAGCCAAAAACTGAAGATAAACCAAAACCAAAGTTTAGTTTGGAAACTAAACCAAGTCAACCTTCATTAGCTGGTATGGGTTGGCGTCAAAGACTTTTGGCAGCGGGTGGTTATGTAAAGTAAAGAAAAAACATTTTTTTATTTTTATAAAAATGCCCCCATATAGAATGGATAGAAAATCTGCTAGAATAAAAGCAGAGTTAGAAAGATATGGTTGGAAAGTTTCGAAGAATTTTAAATATAGGAAGGGAAGACCCATAAAAGTCTATGACAAACTGTCTGGTCTTCGCTACGAGATGGACTTGGAAACAGCGCGCGCCAATTATCCAAACAGACTAGAGAGGTTAGAAGAAGAACGTCTTATGAACATGCCTTTCAATGTTACTGAGCCACAAGTTGAAGGACACGACGGCTTTGCCAGATTCTACTGGAAACATGACGAAACTTGCATCCTTTGAGAAGGAAAAAAGGTAGTGCAGAGGATGGTCATGCTCCCATGGAAAGAACAAGATATGCATATGAGAAGTATCGTGAAGTTAGAAGTCAAATTACTTCTGGTCGAACCTTTACAGTAAACTTTGACGAAGGAAAGAACAAAGAAGGCTTCATGGGAGTACTTGCTGCAATTCAAGATGGAAATAAGAAAGGATACAATCTCAGATTGACCATAACGGATTTGGATGGTCACATTTACTATGCAAATGGCAATGTCACAACAGCTGCAATGCTTCTTGACGTTTCAAGACTAAAAGAGAGAACAAATGGTTGACTCGACTCAGACATTTTTGAATGCAATTGAAGGAATTGCAAGTGTCAAGTTCGAATGGTACCAACCTAACCCTCAAGCAGTCAGACAACATGCTGGATACTTCCCTTCTAAATAAGTCTGACATTGACTTGACAAGGTATGGAATTTACAATTCAATTGAAACAATTGTCAATGAACCTTGTATTCTTACATGTCTCAGGAACTCTGGTCTTGTTACAGATGAGAAAATGAAGTATCTTGAGTCATGTGTGAAGACAAGGTACATTCTCAGAGGTCAATTGGCAAAAATTGCACCGTTGGCAAATGTCAATATCCGAGTCAACATACCTACAGCTAAAGGTTCTTCACATGACGACTATGTTGTTGACAAAGACTTACCATGGTTGAAGATTGCAATTGTCCACAACCACTTCATGTTGAACGAAAGTCTTATGTTCGGAAAAGGCAAGTGCAACATTGTCAGAGCTGTAAACATTCTTTTCGAGAAAGGTTTGTTGGAACCAATTCCAGATGACAAGCTGACAGAAACTTTTGTACCAAAAGACGAAACAAACTTTTCACTGTTAGCAAGACCAAAAGTTGTTCCAGACAAAGTTCTAGTACAAAAGAAGTACACAGCTCCAAAAGGAGTTGGATTGTTCGGATACCAACCTGAACCAGAAGAACTTCCAATGAGGTTGCAAGAACTTCAAGATGCTATAAACAAACTTCCATTGAGACATCCAATTGACGTCAAATTGTATTGGAGAGCATCTGAGTTAGGTCAGAAGGTTTTATATGAAACAGGTTGCTTCGACGATGTTTATGAGATAACAGGAGAAGTTTCTCAGAAGATAAGAGACTCACTTGAATTTCCACGAACTGGTCCGATTGGATGCGACAAGTTCGACTCAGATGAAAAGATATACTATGTCGACCTTAACGCTGCGTACATGAGGTTCGTCCAATATATCCCGACTGGAATTCCAAACGAAGATGGTGAGTTCCCGGGAAGGAACTATACAGTTGGAAAAGTCATACAACAACTGTATGATATTAGGAAAGCTTCAAACCCCAAACTTGCAATGACACTCAAATTGCTTATGAATTCGACATGGGGATATTCCATTAAAAAACCTCAAGAGATGAAGAGTAAACATTATGAGAAGGTCGACAACTTTGTTGAAAGGTTTTCTCCTTTTGTTTTGAAGTACGAATTCACTCAAGGTCAAAGTGGCTTAGTAACCACATTAAAACCTATTGTCGAACATTGGTCTTACCCTCAGTTCGCAAAGGCAGTCCTTGACAACTACAACAAATTCTTCTCGGAAGTTAAATCCAAAGTGAAGGTTTACTATGAGAACATTGACGCACTCATGACGAACGAAGAAGGATACAACAAACTCATTGAAATGGGCATGGTCGGTGAAAAGATGGGCTGTTTTAAGCTAGATAAGGTATTTTCCGAAGTTCATGTCCTCTCCAAGCGTAAGTACTGGGGTGTTAAAGAAGACGGCACAGAAATAAAACATTGCATGAAGTAAAAATTTATTTGAAATGTACGCTGAGTTTGTTGGAGAAGACCGTTGAGAAACTTGTTTGTTAGATGAGAAATATGAAATGGCATACTATTTTAAAACAATATATTTTTACATATATTAAATGTTTCAGGTTGAAAAACAAAGAACAAAAGGAGCAGATACAAAACCGTTAGACTATATCTTTACAAATGCTGGTAGGACAATATCAGATGAAGAAATTTCATCCGGAGCTTACAGGTTTGACTATCCAATTCGTTGGCTTCAAAGTCCTTCAGATGCAAAGGCAATAGGATTTAGAAGAGTTTTGTTTTCAAAAAGAACTAACGCTTTTATGTTTGCAGTATATTTTCATGGTCAGTATAGAGGTCCTAATGGTCTAATAGACAAATTTGATGAAATGAGAATCTTTACAATTCGTTCAGACGAAAACCTTGAGAAGACTCTAAATGACTTTCAAACTCAAATGAACAAATACTATTGGGAACTTCAAGAAAAATACGACTCTTTACTAAATGGAACATACTATCTAAAACTAGAATACAACAAGATGAACTCCACAGTTTCATTTCAAAGGATTGAAAATAACCCTCCAAGAGATACACAGTTTTTATTTTGGGAAGTAGACAAACGTTCTTGGGCACAATTTCTTCGGTTACTAAACCAGAACGAACCATTACCACCTGACGGTCCGTTTAAATTTATACGCCCACCAACAGATTTGACAGTTTATAGAAACGTGTTTGACCTCAAAATGTTATGTGTCATGCAAGTTTCAGTTCAAGCAACAATAGTTTTCTATGTATTGGTAAGGACTTTTATGACTTTGCTTCTAAATTCTACGAACCACCTAGTAACAGTTTCTCTGACTTTCAAGTTTGGTTCACAACAAACGGTGTGCAACATATTATTCCATTGTACTATGACTTTTATCTCGAATTGTCTTTCATATATAACTACGGAAAAGTGCTGAAAAGTATTGAAAAATAATGTTTAGGGTAGATGGGTATATCTAACCTCATTTCTAACCTCTTTTCTACCCTCTTGAATTTTCATGAATTTCATCGTAAATGTTTTGTCGAAACTTCTTCGTAATGAGCGTAAATGACCCAAAAATAATGTTTAGGGTAGATGGTATATCTAACCTCATTTCTAACCTCTTTCTACCCTCTTGAATTTTCATGAATTTCATCGTAAATGTTTTGTCGAAACTTCTTCGTAATGAGCGTAAATGACCCAAAAATAATGTTTAGGGTAGATGGGTATATCTAACCTCATTTCTAACCTCTTTTCTACCCTCTTGAATTTTCATGATTTCATCGTATATGCTTTGTCGAAACTTCTTCTTCGTAAATGTTTTGTCAAAACTTCTTCGTAAATGTTTTGTCAAGACTTCTTCATCGGAATGAGCGTAAATGACCCAAAAATAATGTTTAGGGTAGATGGGTATATCTAACCTCTTTTCTACCCTCTTTTCTACCCTCTTGAATTTTCATGAATTTTCATGATTTCATCGTAAATGTTTTGTCATGAATTTCATCGTAAATGTTTTGTCATGATTTCATCGTAAAGACTTTGTTGAGACTTCTTCGTACATGTTTTCTAACCTCATGAAATTTCCCGAAATAAAAAATAAAGTTAGTTTTTTTAAAAAAATATTTTTTATTTTTATTGTAAGGACAGATATGTCAGTCGAAGCAAAAACGTTCACGAACAAATCTAATGGCGAAACATTCACAAAAGGCACTTATAACGGTATTGAAGTCTTACGTAGAGACAAGGATGGTTATATAAATGCAACAAATATGTGTCAGCAGTTTAGGAAAGACTTTAGAAAGTTGTTGGAAAATAAGTCCTGGGAAGAGTATTATAAGGCATTTTGTGAAGAATATAGCAACCGCCGGAATTCAGACGGTTGCTTTTTATACAAAATTCATGCCGGAATTCCTGATGAAATCAAACAGGTTAGAGGAACGTATGTAGACCCAAGACTTATAAACTATATAGCAATGTGGGCTTCTCCAAAATATTGCATAGCAGTTGGAAAAATTATGGACTCCATAGACAAGAAAGTTCATGAGAAGTTAGATGAAGAAGAACTTGAAGATACAGTAGAAAATGCTAAACCTTTGTTCGAACAAGAAGTTAGAAAAATGTGCGGAAAACAATTAGAACATGAACGTGAGATATGTTATGGTTATAGAGACTCTCCATACGAACTAGACCAATGGGAACAAGAAGATTTAAAGAGAGAATTTAGAGAATATGAACTCGCTAAGATAGCATTTGAAGCTGCAGAAAAGAAGTTAAAAGTTTGGGGTCGTTTTGTAAAAAAATATTGTGAGTAAATGAACCATTTATTTTTATTGAATTCAGCACAAAATAATGTTTAGGGTAGAAGGGTATATCTAACCTCTTTTCTAACCTCTTTTCTACCCTCTTGAATTTTCATGAGTTTTCCCGAAATAAAAAATAAAGTTAGTTTTTTTAAAAAAATATTTTTTATTTTTATTGTAAGAACATGTTAGCAACAACAGCACCAAACTCGTTAGTCATGAACCCAACTTCAATGTTAGTAGAGATGAAAAGCTTCATTCCTTCTTCATATACTTTCGAAACAGAAATCCAGAAGATAAAGCAAGAACTTCTCCAAGGAGATTTAGATTGCACTGCAAAAGATGAAACAGATGAAGAATATCTTTATGAAATGCAGGATATTATTGACCATCTACCTAAACTTCCTGAAATCCAACAACAAAAGCTTACTATTCCAGAATTCGATGAAATAGAAGTCAAAGCAACTGACTCAGTAGAAATAAAGAAGTTCATACGAAAGGTTAACTATGAGTTTCTTGGATTTCATTGCAACCACAAAGTCATGGACAAAGATTGCGATATGGTATATAAGAACATCTCTGACATATACAAATCTGGGGAGTTTAAGACCTACGACAACTTTGTTTCGTTAGTTGCTGAATGTGTATGGCAGATAAGAGATAAAGATAGAAGAGGTAAGATATGGAATGAACAAATAAAACCAGCAGCTTTTGAGTTAAAGAGAGCAATTGACGCCTTAGTCATACTAGCAGGTAAGGTTTCAGAATATAACGCAAAAATGAACCCACAATGTTCTAAATGTAAAGCAGCAATGAGGAAATATAACTACTCCGTCAAAGAGATAGAACGTATGCGAAACGACTATGCTGACTTAAAGAGGGAGGCAGAGAAACCAGCAGAAGATAAAATGGACATGTTGACATTTCTAAACAAAAACTATCCAACAGCTGACGATTTCCTTCTTTCAGATGTCAAGAAGAAATATAAAGAAACCTTCGGCATTGTTAAAACATTCGATGTACTGACAGAAGAAATAGAAGCTACGAAATTGTTTAGAATTTCACGAATTCACAATGTTTACCATGTAAAACGCTTATAAAATAACTGGGGTAGAAAAGAGGTTAGAAAAGAGGTTAGATATACCCATCTACCCTAAACATTATTTTGTGCTGAAAAATGACCAAAATTCTGAGTAAAATAATTTTTAGGGCTTGTGTCAAACCGTTGAGTTTTCACAAAATTTAAAAAATAACGTTTACCATGTAAAACGCTTATAAAATAACTGGGGTAGAAATGAGGTTAGAAAAGAGGTTAGAAAAGAGGTTAGATATACCCATCTACCCTAAAATATATTTTTATTGAATTCTGAGTAAAATTCTGAGTAAAATGACATATGGAACACATACTTTTTCAGTAAGGACATATGGGGTAGAAAACAGGTTAGAAAAGAGGTTAGATATACCCATCTACCCTAAAATATATTTTTGCTGAGTAAAATGACCAAATTTCATGATATAACTGTATTTTTTTGACGAAGAGAACTTTTGCACTTCGTAAAAAAAACTCTATGAAATCATATCTTTTATACAAGATAGAAAAAATAAAGTTAGTTTTATTTTTATTTATTTTTTTATCCTGTATATAAGAAACAGTAATGTCAACAACCGAGAACACAACAACAGTTATAGTCCATGAAGCTATAAATGAAGAATATGAGTGGGTTCAGTTTAACAAACAACTCCGTCTCATTCGTTCGGTCAAAGACGATATGTACCAAATGCAAAGTATTTTGACAGCATGTTTTGCTCCAGATACTATGAAACCACAAGATTGGTTTGAATTAAATAGCACTCATGAACTCCTCAGTGAGTTTGAACATGTAGAACTTAAAAAGATGTACCAAGACAGGCAAAACTTACCATCACATCTAAAAGGTATATATGTTCATAAGTTCCTAGTTAGTTCAATAGCAATGTGGGCTTCACCTCGTTATGCAATCTACATACTTATGCTACTTGACGAACTTTGTACAAAGCAGAGAGAAGATATGATGAAAGAAGACAAAAGCATTCAGAAAAGAATACCACGTTCGGTACCAAAAGGAAAGGAAAAGAACTATAAGTATATGATTTATACTGAAGAGATGGAAAATGAAGAAGATAAAGATATGGTTATGTTGCATTTAGTCAGAAGAAACAACAAAAGCTTTTACGACCTTGCTAAGATTTACAAATCTGACAGAAATTGGTTCTATCGCGAAAACTTACCGATTTCAATGACACCGAATGAAGATGTGAAACAAATAGTTCAAGATACGTTACCTCAAACACACTATGATATGAAAGGTTGTACAATACTTACCTTCAAAGAAGATTTGCCATTGTTAAAGGAAAAAATAACAGAGTATTTTGACAACTTCAAACAAGTAGGGTAGATGAACCATTTATTTTTACGCTTGACTTCAGATGGCTCAGGTAGCTCTATAAAGTAAATTGCCTCGTCAAATCCTTCTGGCATTCCGAGTCCTTCCTTCCGACAGAAAAAGTTTTTCCCGACAACAGGAAAAAAATTTCCTGACAACTGGAAAAAAATTTCCCGACAACTGGAAAAAAATTTCCTGTTGTTCGTCCGTAAACCATTCAAATTTTCGAAAATTGAGAACTTTTTGG